GGAACCTGCCCTTGTGCTCTGGATGAAGTCCGGTGGGCACAATGCCCCTGCTGGCCTGGAGCCACAGCCATCTGGGCAAGGCAGCGGGGAGGGCTCTGGTTAACTGACCCAGCTGGGGTTGGGAGCCTTCTTGGCCTAGTGGGTGGGGGTCATGTGGGTGTATGTGGGGTGGGCCCAGGTGCAGAGCTCAGCATAAGGCTGAGCCAGGAAAGCAGGCTGGGCTGATGCACCTGGAGATGGGCGGCTCAGTGCACAGGGAGGCCTCCTGCAGGCTCTCATCTGGCCAGGCACCTGCATCAGGACAGTGCTGGCCTGCCCCATGGGGCCCTGCCTCCCAGAGCGGTAGGGGAACTAAGATCTTAACCCAAATCTGAGCAGGTTGCCTGCTCTGACTGAGTTCTGTGGGCACAACAGTAGGTTTGCTGAGATCCACCTAGGCCACCAGCAGTAGCAGCTGCTGACCTGGGGCCGGGGGCTGGGAAGAATAGATGTCTGAGTAACCCTAGCACCAAACTCCTGCCTGTGCCCACCCCCACCCTCCTTGACTCTTGAAGTCCAGTGCCTGCTCCACTCATGCTGAGGGTGGCGAGGGGGGACCCAGCTAATAGCTCCTACCCTGATGGTCGACAACACCCACTTCCCAGCCCAGATGGAAACTGAGGTCAGGAAAGCTCACAGCAAGATGGCTGAACCAGTCTGCCAAGAAGCCATAGCAGGTTCTCAGGGGAGTTTGTGGGAGAGCCGGGGGAGGTCTGCTGGTTAGAAAAAGATGTCTTATGAATTCAAAGCTCAGCACAGGCTCGGGGACCCCGTCCATCTCCCTCCTGAGCAGATCTCAAATCTGACTGCCAGAAGAAGGCCCCTGAGAGCTCTCTGGGAGTCCTCAGCCTCCCAAGAGGCAGCAGACAACCCTCTCAGTTCCCAGCAGGCCCTGTGGACAATTTCCCAAGCCGAGCTGGGTGGGGGGAGCTGTCCCCTGGGCTGTGCTCTTTATCCTCCTGCTAGCTGTTAGCCAGGGCAGTTTCTGAGCCCGGGCTGGTGCTAGGAACCCCTTTCTGCCTGTGGAGAGCACCATGGTGGTGGGGGCCTGGCAGTCAGCATGACCGAAAACACTCCCTCACTTCCCCCACAAGACTTGGGGATTGGTCACAATGCACGGGAGGTGGCAGGGGCCATTGCATGCCGCTGCCACTCAAGTATTGCTACGGAGGTCTCAGGGGCCATGGACTTGGGGGCGAAGGGTGGCCAGTGGGAATCCTCTAGAGGCCAGGCCTGTGCCACCTTGGAAGGGCTGTCTTCATCAGCTGCCCACAACAGGAACCTGGAGTCTTGCTCCAGGCCGGGCGGAGCTGGGGTGAGGCGAAGAGGGCTTGAGGAGTGACTCTTCAGTTAGCAAGCAAGCTCCTGCTCAGGAGGACACTGGGGGGGTGAGGGGAGGGGGGCAAGCGACAGGCCCTCCTGCCAGGGGAGGGGAAGCAACCGAGCTGGCAGAACAGACCCTTCTAGAGGGGCCAAGTGGAAGGGGGGGCGGGGAATGCTGGTGCTTGGGGCAATACGGCACAAGGCACACGAGGGCGAGGTGACCGACGACGCGAGTCCCTGAGACGCGGGGTCACTCCCATTCCCCCTTACCCCCTCCCCCCC